ATTTGACCTCGGAAATCCCGCAAAACCTTCGCTTTTTGTGAAATGCAGTTCTAGGGTCACTGCATAGATGGCGCCACAACGTCAGTGTGTTCCCTCATTCTAGAAACATTTAAGAAGTTGTAAGAGATCTCGTCTCTCTCAGTCGTACTCGGTCGCAAGAGTGTGAACGGGCCTTTACCCTTAAGCGCCGTTCACACTCTTGCGACCGAGTACGACCGAGAGAGACCAGACCGGTTTTTAATCCTCTTACGACGTCTTAGGACCAGCTCCGCAGCAGCGCGCCCTGTCTTAAAGGGATACTGAAGCGAAACTTGAAATACACCTATTATGGTCAGAAATAGGTTCAATATGATCAATGATATTCATAAATCATAATCGCGCGTTTGTATTTTGAGCGGATGGCTATATTTTTCACCCTGATGGGCCCGATTGGGCGCGCGCTCAAAAATCGGCCATCGGAGAGCGCGATGCGTCTTGGGATATTCGTGACGTCACTTGTGCCGGTCGGGAAAGGCTACGGCGTGAATGTTGTGGTTACGAGCGTTGCCACTTGGTGGCGCGTCGACGATTTACGACCTGTGACAACGTGGCCGTTTGAGATGTGCAAGGGCTGCACGCACGCTGCACCACGGCACCACGGCAAGTCGGCAACCACGGCAGCACTGACAAAACCAGCTCTGAGGCCGGATTCTCAAAGCGAATTCACGACGAAAAAAGTGCGTACGACAAATTTGAGAGAAAACCCGTGCTCTCGAAACGAAATTGTCGTAACCTTTGCGCAGGTTACGACAGAATCCTACGACAGCTCCGAAGCTGTCTTACGCACTTTTTACGATCAAATCAACAAGGCCGACAGCGTCGCTCAGTTACTTGGTATCGGCCACCAACGGACATTTATTTTTCTTCGTGCTCTTCTCGTGCGTCCCGACTTCAACCAGCAAGAAAAAAGGAAGGAGTACTTAAAACAGACCACGACGATCAAGAACGCAGGATCCACAAACACACGAGAAGAGCTACAACAGCCACGATTCTGCCGACCGAGCGAGCTCGGCAGAATATAGTAGGCCTAGCAGCAACATCGACTCGGCGCATCGTTGCTCCGGCGGTCCTTGGCCAAGACCGTCTGTCCATGACCGGCTGGCCTGCTGAATGGAATATGCCCGCGCGACCCTTGTGGACCCTTACCGGATGAGTAGTTTGATCCCTGAACTAAATTTCAGAGGTCAATATTTTCCCCTTGTCATCTCGATCTCCTTGTTTTCCGTGACAGCGGTGACGAACGCTGTCGTCGAAAAGGGACTCTCATTGATTCTATCTCCTTGTTTTGTGTGATATAGAGCTCAAATAAACGCCATACGGATTACCTTGGCAACTCGGTATGTACACTCTGTTATTAGTATGCCATTTTTATTCTGACTCGACGCTACGTCAGTGTCGAGCTATTAGCCCCGAGAAGTTCGCGTGGCGCCCCCTTACGGTGAACCGGGGTGACGTCACGGCGAGGAGAGAATTTTTCCCCGACTCGGCCCGCTCGCTCTGTGGAGGCTGTGACGACGCTAGCTGACGGCGCGCTCGTTTCTATTTAATTTTTTTGGCGTGTTTTTCTTAGGAAGTGTAAATTTTTATTTGAACCTTTATTGAGGTACGGCCTGCAGCTACAGGCGAAGCTTCAACAATCATTTTAAACATGGTTGACAGGGCAGGCAACGCATGAATCACAGCTGGTATATGAAAATAAAGAAACATGGCCACAATTGCAGGAGCGTCACTATAGATTTACATCTTGCACAATAAATGCTGCTGATGGTCTGAATGAATTGGGAGGTTATGTATACTATTTTTGTTTTTGTATCTGTTTTTAAACAAGATCGCCGAAGCAGAAAAGCTGCATGCTGCTCGAGCAACATGTTGAATACAGTCTGGGCCATCAAGAAAAAATCACAAGTAAGACAGCCCAAGTGCAGGGGCAAAGTAAAAAAAAAAAACAAGAAAAAACAAAAACAAGGAACATTTATTATATACAGTGCTTGCATTTGAACTTTGATGGATTCGGATAGTATTTCAATGGACTACACGGGTGGTATTTGTGGACTTGTTTATATCAACCCTCAAGTAATGTATAACAAACGTAAGCGAAGGTGTCTAGCTCGTTATTAGCCCCTTAAGCCCTAAAATTGAGATTTTACTTAAATCGAATTGTCCTGAAGTTAAAATACCAGACGCTTTTCTCGCGCAGACTATCGCCCTTCACGGGTTCCACATTTTCTGCTACCAGTGCTGCATCTTCCACTGGACAGACGTTCGAATGCTTGTTGTTCCTCCTGTTTTCCTCTGTTGTCAGAGAGTCCAGCTGTAGGGAGTTTGGAGGCTGAGGAAGCTTTTGGGGACCTGCAGCAGTGTCTCTTTTAATTGGAAATAACAATTCAGACTAAACGGTGTATTTTCGGAATAGGCTGGAATAAAGAATGTCAGGAAAAAGTATAAGCATTCCACATTACGGAAATATTGCCGTGCATAGTTTGGCAGTTAATACATATCATACAGAGAACTGGGGGCAATTCGGCCGTTTTTGCTGCTACCATACAAACTAATTTCCAGTAAGTGTGCAGCTTCTAAGAAATATGCCTGCATACGTGTATAAACTATATAATTAATTCACGAAGAAGCCACATTTATGTAAAACAACCCCGTTCCACGAGCACTTCAAAGAAAACATCTGCGAACCAGCGCATGCAGAGTGGCACCGCAGAGTCAGGGTCGCGGGCTAATTTGCCGACCACCCAAAGGCCCATGATATAAATGCCACTTCAAATGCATTGAAAGCGGGATGTAATATTGTCTTCAATCATGAACGTGCAAGGAACAGAATTCCAGCGTCTCAAACGCTTGCGCCATCGCTTCACTGACCTCTCGCAAGATTGCCTTGTGTCGTGTGCATGGACGGACGGGGAGGCTCATCGGCGGAATTGCCTCCGCCGATAGCTTTCGGGATTTGTAACGCAATTTTAAAGGTAAAAGGGACAAGCAGGCTTATAAAATGTACGGAAGCACGTCAATATCGGCCTAACTCAACTTCTTGCACACCAGGTAAACGAAGTGCAGCTCCACGAAGAGCTTGCGGCACACAACGCCAAACCAGGAAACCGGTGCTGGGAGGCGAGCCGATGCGAGATCGCGGAGCGGAGTACTCGCCCTGACGTCACAGTACACCTCACCCAATCCGGGCGCGGCGACCGCAGCGACGCTTGTGCTCACTCTCGGGGCTAATAGCAGTTCGTGGGAGCTACGCGATGTCGGTCTAACCTTTCTTTGCCGAGTGTCATGTCAGTATCGAGTTGCAATCGTAAAAGATCGGTCCAGAAGCGCTTACCGAAACGCGGTCTAACAGAGCGAATCCAGCACTTCGATCAAACGCGCGTGTCCGCTCCGAGTGTGAACAGGTATTTGGCATTTGCGTGGCTCTTGCTGACACCCTCGTAGTTCAAACATATCCTTTTTAACGTCGGCTTGCAGCTCGCGACTCGCAGCAACTAATACCGGCCGTGCCAGAAGCATGCTCGGGCCGTGTCGTGCAAAGAGCCGCAACGAGAACGAGCTCACTGTGGCCAACTACGCTTTGGCTTTCTCCGCCAAGGCTTTGCGAACGCGTTCAGGCCTAGGCGAATTCTGCCGGCACGCCGTATTGCCGCAGAACGGCGCTGCTATTTTGGCACAAGTGATGTCACGAGAACTTCCCCCCATCCACCAGATGAGAATTTGAAATCGTTTAATTATGTTTAAAATTAGTTCTCCTGTGTTTTACAGCGCAATATTTATATTTCCGAGGTGGTGCCTGTCCCTAGCCCATATTTATGCAACAAGATCGGCGCTAAAATTTCGTTTCACTACCCCTTTAAGAAGTCGCAAGAGGCTTAAAAACCGGTCTTGTCTCTCTCGGTCGTACTCGGTTGCAAGAGTGTGAACGAGCCTTTAGAGGCCGTTGACCGAGGATGGCGGATCATGTATTATGTTTCGGTAATTCCGAGTGACTCCCAAACTATAGACTAATCAATGAGATGTTCGATGAAAGATGCATGAAAACCTAATAGACTGATCCATGAGATGTTCGATGAAAGATGTATGAAAACTAGGGCTGGGCATCGATTAAAAATTTTAACCCAATTAATCGCCACCCTTTAATCGATTAATTAATCGATTAATCGGTTGTGTCGATTTTTATAAATAAAATATTAAAAAGAATGCAACAACTTGTCTTGGCTTTGAAGACTTATTTTATTCTCTGTTACACGGCGCAAAGGATATTTAGAATTGAGGATACATATAGTTCAACGATTCAAAGACTCACATATTTTTGCTCCAACTCCGAAGACAAAGAAGTTCGTCCACATTCTCCGACAGGAAGACAAGAATTCAGAGCTTGGGCGATGCTTTCTTCTTTTTTCAAAGAAAGGAACCTCGATGAGAAGGCGTTGACTGTTGTCTGCGTTTTGGCGGATGGTCCTTACTGCAGCTACATGGGTGCTTCGCTCGTAGGTGATACTGAAGCCAACTTACGGTTTCACTGTACGAAAATGGCTTTTTGCAGGTGATGCAGTGGACTTCCTTCGAGTTTACTCTTCACCGCTGGAGTTTCCTTTAAACCGAAACTTTCCAGCGAGATTGCCTTTCATACTCGTGAACTTGTCCATTTATACGTGCCGAATACTGGAACAAGTAACCATGGCGTTGTTAGCTTCTTAGCTTGTTTTTCTGCTTGTTTGTCTAGCCTGTGCGGGATGTGTCATAGATCCTATATCCTCGAACAAGTGACGCTTCGCGAGCGCGAGAATTGAACCCTGCTCATAGCACCTGGCTGGGAAGGAACTTCTTTTGAGTACCGATTAAAAAACCGATTAACCGGTTAAAGAATTCGATCGCGATTAAAACCTTAATCGATTAATCGGAAGATTAATCGATCAATTGCCCACCCCTAATGAAAACCTGTGTTTTTTGTCGCCCAGCGAGCCGGGAAGCTGCGTTCGCGCACGCCGTGGCGGCTGCGGGCGTGGTGCACTCTGTGTCCCGGGCGTGCCGCGACGGGCAGCTGGGCAGCTGCGGCTGCTCGAGCGAGCTGCGGCCGGACAACCTGCGCCGGGACTGGATCTGGGGAGGCTGCGGGGACAACGTGGCGTACGGCTACCGCTTCACCGAGGGCTTCGTCGACGTCCGAGAGCGGGAGCAGAACCACCCGAGGGCCTCGCTCGCTCAGGGACGCAAGCTCATGAACCTGCACAACAACGAGGCCGGCCGAAGGGTGCGTGCACGCTTCCTCCCTTCACCACGGCTTTGCGCTCGAAACGCCCGGAAAGCCGATGTCGCTCTGCTCTATACATCGTACGAAGTCTGCGGACGCTCTCGGAGACGTGTTTCTTCCGGGTAGGACGGTACTGCCACTTTAGTCGTACAAGAAATGTATATATGCATAAAGCGAGCAATGTCGAATATGCTTGGACGCCGTAGTTCGTCTTGTCTGCACCGAGTATTGTGTCTTCTAAATGATGTGGGAGCCGTCTTACTATAACTTAAAACAATACTGAAATAAAAAGTAAAAAAATAATTAAACGTCGAGATGGGACATAAATAAAAGAACATATATATTCGTTTTTTCTCCCCGCAATATTACGCCGTTAGACGCAATTTAACGAAAGAAGGTGAAGGTCCCCACCCACTAAGCTCCGCCCAGTGCTTACACCGTGCTTACGCCTCTCATTGGCTGGAGAAATGATTGACGTGTGAAATGTTGGTTGTAAAATTGTTTCTTCGCGCCCTAATAGTACTTTAGTCGGCATGTTTCTTCTTTTATGTTTGAGAAACATATATTTTAGATAGACTTAATGCTGATTTTGAAAATATCACGAGACCGCCTTTTTGGCTTTAGTTTCAAACCATATCAAGCATGGCTGCCGGCGTTCGCGGCGAGCATTTCTAGCTACACCGCGTAGCCAGTTGAGTGGGTAGACCTCGAGGGCAGCTAGCATCGAGGTATACCCGCTATCCTTCTAATCACGTTCTGACGTCACCGCAACCCCTGCGCACGAAGCAGGCGAACTTGCGCTTCGCATTGTGCGTCATGACGCTCACTCATTTTGCTCGCGGACGCTGTGCAAGAAAACAGCAAGAACAGAAAAGCTGAAAGAACTGCATATTTATTCTGCCGATCTTTGTTTAGTCGTTTCGTTCCTTTTTTTTCCGTACATGGAGAGGCGCTTGTACTGGACTGTGACTTGTGCATGATGAAACGCTATAACGGCGCTTGCATAGCCGCGTCTTGCGGGAGTTCCAAATGGTGGTCGCGGAATAGCAGACGGACGTTAACGCGCCGCTTTCAGAAACCCGTCTTGCAAACATCGTAAAAGAAAAAAAAAATGGGTTGTTTGTATGTTTATACAGCCTAGAACTTAGTCTGTCTCGACGGGCGACTTGTCTCCCAGCTGTAGATGAGACATTTAGCCAGTGCAGTACAATCGCTAGCCTGGGGTCTTTAACGGGAAACACGCAGTAGGGATACACGACCCCACGCCGGTACGACGCTCATCGAGATCGAAACGGGCAAGGGTGGGGCTTGAACCCCCTGGGTTCTGCAGCGCGAGCTTTCGCTCCACGTGCTCCGAGCTGGTGTGCGCTAGCCCACTCGGCCACCGATCCCCCCTTGCGGGCGTCGCAGACGAACGATGCTGTACGCTGCCACGCGCCTACTCGCTCGACTAGCAGGTGGTGTCAGGCGGCAGACCAGACGCACCGGACGTCGCGATAGGCAGGCATTCGACTGGCCAACTTTCTCGACCGAGCAGCCGTGCTAGTCCAGTAGCAATGGGAGAGGCTGCCGTTTTATGGGCAGGGCCGAGAGCGAATCGTGAGCTCTACCTAAATGGCGTATTGCGGCTTAAATATTGCGTCAAATGTATCTAATTATCGCTGGCAAAAAAAAAAAAAAAAAAAATATTATTAATTTATTTTATTTATGCATCTTATTATTTTTTTTTTTTTTTCCAATTCGGTGTTTCTTACGAGTTGCGAACCCCCAAACAAACTAATGTTCTTAAATCGCCGAGGAAGTTATAAGGACCTAAGTAGTGCGGAAAACTTGCTTTTTTTACAATGTTTAATAGAGAAGGTCGATTACTTGGACAAACGCTGGGAGCCCAATCGTCCTGGATTTGAAGGGGTGCCTCGAACGACGCCAAGCAAAGCCCGCTCGCGCCTCGGGCCGCCTAGAGAAGCTAATTGAACCAGGTCATGCGTGGCGAGCGAAAGCATTGTGTACAGATAAGCCCTTCGAATGCCAAGCCGCACGCACACGCGCACAAACACACGCGAAAGAAAAGTGCCTCGAAATAGCTTTGGTACGTCCCACGGTACCGCCTCGTTTTATGTGGCGCGCAGAACGCGGCACAGTTTGCGCGAGATTGCCGCTTTATGTACGTTTTTATTTTGCGACTGAAACGTTGCGATGAAAAATATGTCATACGCAAATCTGGGGCACTAACCTACGCGGTAAGGTGTAGCGCTCATGAAAGTGGCGATGTCAAGTTCACGCCAACTGTGTTGCTCTGTCGACATTTCTAAATTGATGAATGAAAGCAAGGTACGGGAATGATTCTCTTCGTTCGGGATCATGCACTCGACGCCGTAGACATGGCGCAACAGGTTCATCTGCAGACGTCCCCATTGTCTTTAGCAAAGATATCAAAACGTGGAAACACCTGAGGCATATATGTGCATATTCATAATCGAGTCGGTCATAATGGAGGCATCATCTCGAGTACTGCCCCAAAAATACCTTCTCGCGATTTCTTTGTTCCCGGGTGCGAGTTCTCCCAGAAGCTGTGAAATAACCGTCTCTCACAGTTTGTGCCGAAGACCTCGAATATAATGTTTCCCCTTCTCAAGTCAAGAGATACAGTCTGTCTCTGCACTGTGGATGCTAGGAATCACACTGTATTATTTATTTCCAACAACTATTCACACACCCCTAAAGAAAGAAGAAAAAAAGAAAACACCTTAACACGTATAATTCCCCGCAAAGTACGGTACTCGTCGAGCAAGCGACGTACACGGTCTTTTTGTGGAAACCAACGCGTGAAGCTCATAAGCGGCTGCCGGCTGCATGCCTTCTAGCCACGGTCGCACTGCTCATGCATCCTACAAAAGACACTGTGTAGGCAATGTCTGAGGCCTTCCTTGTATGACATTGATTGTACAAAAACTGTCTGCAGACACCTTGGAAGAATACACGAAGCAAACATGCGTCAGGGCTGTCGTCAGATAGTTGCGTCACCATGTTCTGCGGCCAACAGCGTGTCTTTTGCGCGACGTAGGAGCAGTGTGGTGCATACGCCGCGAAGTGCTTACCCAGAGCGCTTGATAACCGAAGCGGGCAATAAAAATAATTCCACGGTCTTTTTACCGGCGAAACCCGTCAAAGGCCAACGGCAGCACTGAGCACATCGCGTGGTCGGCGGCGAGGCGCGGTCAGGCAGCTCGGGCGGCTTCTCGTGCCGGTGTCCCATGGAAGGCGCTTTCCGATTCGGGACCTGTCACGTCTTCGAAGAAGGCCGCAAGCTGGAACGACGTCGATAAGGCAGCCGGAACTAAACGAGCGCCTCGGGGGCGGCGTCGCAGGTCGCGGCTTCTCCGCGTCGTTCGCGACACCAGATTCGAGTTTGTTTTAAAAGACGGCGCCTCCCCGAGCTTGTTTTATGCGCCCAGCGAGTGACGTGTTTTGAGAGCGGCGGCGGCACAGCCCGCAACATCTGCCCAGGTCCCCCTCTGACGGCCGCCTGCACCGAGACCGCGAGTCGCGCCAGTCTGGGATTTGCATCCGCTTTGCACGGCCCAGGAATGCGCTTTGTTGGGCGTGCTGCCTTCCATTGGGCCGACGTCTCGTGGCTCAAAATATGCGTGGACTTCAGTCCTGCCTTCACGTTGACTCGAGGAAGTTCCTTCGTGTACACTGCACCGCTAGGCATTCGCAACACCAGGGACACTGATGAGGTATTTATGCTCGCCGAGGTTTTTATTAAAATATGACCTATAAGTGACCAACAACCCAGAACGCACTTTGCTGCTCACAATTTTTTTCTTTCCGCCCAGAAGCAGCCGGTCGAGGAGTGGCCGGTTTCATTCGCGCTCACTTTTTTCGACGGTCCGGTGGCGTTCAAACGGAAGCGTACCAAGTACACTCTAAAGAACGTCTGTGCGTCTACTTTCACGCACAATACTCGGAGAACCAATCAGCGCAACTTATGGGGGCAGCTCAGCGAATGACGATGCCGAAACATCTTTAGACCAAAAAACGCAGACGGAGTTGTGACATTAAGCGATGCAAGCGTGACGTTTTGCATTGCTTACTGTCACAACTCAGACTGCGTTTTTTGGTCTAAAGATGTTTCGGCATCGTCATTCGCTGAGCTGCCTCCGTAAGTTACGCTGATTGGCTCTCCGAGTGCTGTGCGGGCAAGTAGACGCACATACTTTTTTTAGAGTGTATATTCCAAGTCGAGGGTCATCTAATACTTGTGCCACACGGGCAACTCGAATGCCATTTACAACGAATGACATTTGAACGATCAGCCAATCAGCGCGCGTCACTCCGAGCGTGGGGCGTTCCACGCGCGACAGATCGCGAGTTGATTCGTTGATCATGTTCATTCTTCCCACCGTAGTGCTGCTTAGTTGCCGCTGATACACGGACTGTAGGCTCGTCCAGCTGCTAGGCGCAGCTTTTTTTCCACAGCCCCTGCATCTGTATTTTTTACAAGGTGGAAAATAAACTCATTTGATTCGACTGATTTGTAAATGGCATTCGAGTTGCCCGTGTGGCCCAAGTATCTGGCCAACATTCAACATTAAGAATAGAAAAGAACATGAACCCCATTTTGTGGCTTCTAAAAAGCTGCAAATACGTTGAGCGAAAAAAAAAAAATGTAGCAGAGATCACAGGAAGTACATGCACTACGTCATTCTCAATATGGCGACGTACCGCGAGCTGGACGACGCGATGGCGGCGCACGACGAATGTGGGGCCGCTAATTCGGAACTCTTTTAATGGCCAATCGATCTTCAAGCGCGGAAGATCGAGCGGAAAGGACAGAAGTGCGGTACAATCGAACGGCAAATGGTGCACCCAACTTCGTCATCGTCGTCCGCTTCACACGCCGAAAAAGCGGCAAGAAAGTAAAGAAGAAAAAGAAAAAAAAAAGCGCGGTTGGGTGTAGCCATGTGACTTCCAGCAACTCTCCCTTTCTCTACATT